AAAAAAAAAAAAAAAAAAAATTTAAAACATATTTCCCTTTAATCCCTCAACATTTCACTATTATCAAAATATGCTTTGGTCAAAATCCTTACTACTAAATAATTTTTTACTTTAAAATCTTGGGACGTTACACTAAGCATCTTACGAAGGATAAGTTGATGCATCTAAACATCGATAGGATGTGCGTATTTGTTGGTTCACACCTTGAAATATGGTAGCACTTGCATTTTCAATGTGTTTTGATTTCAAGCATCTGGGGACATATCAAAGATTGGTTGGGAATGAAGAGGTCAATGACGACAATACTTAATTTATTGAAGTGGATAAAGAAAGAAGTCTGAGGCACATCTTGACAATCTAAAGCCAAGAAAATCTCACTTGCTTGTACGGTCTACCAATTTTGGATGGCTCGGAATAGAATGATTTTTTATGGTCTCAAGCCATGTATTGATAGCATTGTGAGATTGATTAAAACACATGTATACAAAGTTATGTGCTCTTTGTATTCTAATATTTTGGTTCATCTTGAGTCTCTAGTGTTGGATCGATAGATCTTTGTCGTTTGTAAATCTGTAGATATCTGATTTGCCTGGACATGCCCGGTGGACTTGTAAAAGTTTTGATCAATAAAATTTACATTTTATCAATAAAAAGAAAAAATAAATCTTGGCCGGTGGAGTTAGTCCCCAAAGACGGCAAAATCTATAATATTCACAGCCACACAAACGGACCATGTCTTGCTAGCATAGGCTAGAATTTGCCCGTCCCTATTAATGTCCAACGACTTTTTCAATTTTTGTTAAATCTCATTTATTGGTCTAATAATTATACAAACTCCATGCATATTTTTCAAACTTGGCCCCTTAGCAACAAAGAGTCTATGCATAAAGTACTCAACATATTTATAAAGAAGAAAATGTTTATTTATTATATAAATTGGTACTACTTACTAGACATACTTTTAAGACTTATGAGTCATGTCTTGGCGATAAGAGTTAGACAATAAACATAAGATCACGTCTCCTTGTTACCTATTTATAGAAATTATTCGTGTTTGATCGAATCATGAATTTGTTCTATGTGAAAAAGGTGAGTTGAAAATAAAATTTAAATTAATACATGTAGCTCCAATCCAACCAGCTCTGATGGACAGCTACATTGATATTTCACTTCAGTAGCTCCATGGTTGGCGGAGCTCCATCTTCTCCCTTCGGATGGGACACTGTCAACAACTTTTGACACATCCTCTCCCCACCTAGCTACTTCCATGCCACTCAGGCCCTAAGTTGGTGGGTCCCACGAGATGTGTTAATAAAAAATAGTTTAACCAACTTTAAAGAATTTATAAACATTAATCAAACATTGTTCTCAACATTGATGTATTTTTTATTAATTTTAAAAATTCATTTGAACATGTAGATGAGGAGAGTGCTGTGGAGGTGCCAACATTATTGGGATGTCTGGAGGTACCCATTGATTCTTAACACTTACATAAAAAAGGCATCTCATATATAAGCAATGGAAGTGTCAAAGTTGTTGGGATGTCTCGATGCACCTGCTAATTCCTAATACTGAGAACGTTATCTTAAAAATGATAACTTATTATCATTAACTATAATCGTCACATTAATACCATATTTTTATAATACCATCTTCCATGTCATTATACAAAGTTACCAACACCTTCGTCATGATAATAAATGAAAACAACCAAATTAGGAGCTTATTTGGTCCAGATTAAAATTTGATTTTAATCCAAATCAAAGTCAAACAATCAATATTAACCACATTTTTCATGGGTCCTACAACTTTTCAACGACACATTTCAAAAATTTTTATCACAATCTACTAAAAATTTAATTTTAATCATCACCAAACACCCTCCATATGTAATTTAGCCAAATAACATAAGTTGGAGTCATGGCTTGCCATTCATGGCTTGCCATGCAATTTAGGTTTGTGAAATAAAAAGGTAGCTAGAAAACCTTTATAATACGCTCAACTTTCTTTTTGTTTGGGTTTTGAGGTGGTCCTTAATTAGATTACATATTCATGCACGTTTTCATCATGCATGAATATGATTTTAGAAAAAAAAAAAATTACACGTTTTGCCTAGGGGTCGAACAGTGTACTATAATTTATAAATAGAATTTTCTTGCGGCCTGAATTTTCACTCAAATTTCAAAATTTTCTTCATAACTTGAGTGCTAAAAATGGCCATTCTATTCAATACTGCAGAAGCATCACATGCGCAAGAGGAAATAGCCCCAGAATCCATTGAAATTCTTAGCTCACTCCCAGCAGAAAAAGGCTGGAGAACACCAAATCTGTACCTATTCCAGGGATTTTGGTGCCAGCCAAAAGAGATTCAGGCCATAATTTCTGTTCAGAATCACTATAAAGCAAAAGACAGTGATATAATTGTTGCCACAATTCCGAAATCAGGCACAACCTGGTTGAAAGCACTGTGTTTTGCCATAGTGAATAGAGAGAAATTTGATTGCCAAAAGAATCACCCTTTGCTCACTTCAAACCCACATGAACTCGTGCTGTTTCTTGAGTATAAGTTGTATGCAAACAATCAAATTCCAGATCTTTCTACCCTTCCGACGCCTCGACTCTTGGCCACCCACATGCCTCTAAAGGCACTGCCTGAATCTGTTAGGCAATCATATAGTAAAGTTGTGTACTTGTGCAGGAACCCATTTGACACATTTGTCTCAATCTGGCATTACCTTTGTAAAATAAGGCCTGAATCTCTGGGTCCCTTGTCCCTTGAAGAAGCCTTTGATATGTATTGCAGGGGTGTTATAGGATATGGTCCATATTGGGACCATATGTTGGGCTATTGGCATGAGAGTTTAGAAAAACCCCACAAAGTTTTATTTCTGAAATATGAGGAAATGAAGGAAGACACTACCTTTTATACGAAGAAATTGGCCGACTTCTTAGGATTTCCCTTTTCTTTGGAAGAGGAAAAATGTGGAATGATTGAAGAAATATCAAAATTATGCAGTTTTGAGCATTTGAAAGAGTTGGAAGTGAACAAGAAAGGAAAAGGTGCCATTGCTCACTTCGAAAACAAGAAGTGAACAAGAAAGGAAAAGGTGCCATTGCGCACTTCGAAAACAAGAACTTGTTTAGGATAGGTGAGGTGGGTGAGTGTGTTAATTATTTCAGCCCCTCGATGGTGGAAAGGCTGACTAATATCATGGAAGAGAAATTAGCTGGTTCAGGTTTGTCCTTCAAATTGTTCTAAAGGTGGAAGGGTGCACTCTAAGATGCTGAACAACATTAATAAAAATAAATTTATAGAAGTTAAAATATTGTAATTGAGTCCGTGTATCAAATGTCTTTGTGTGCGAGGTTCCCCACTTTGTGTATATTGTTAAATAAATGAGCACGAAAAGTTACTTTTATGGGATCAAGTTTTACCATCACCCATGAAATAAATCCATGGGGTTATTCAAGAAATGACTTCTAATTTGGTTTGATATCCATAGCTATTTATAAATGAAGTAGTCATTTAACTAATACTATAATGGGAAATTTAGGGATGTGAGTTTCAACCCTTTAGATACATTATGAGTTCTCAACCTTTAAAAGTATGATTATGATTCTCCAATTAAATTTGTGAATTTTTGTCTTTATGTGATTGAAATAGTCAATGTAGACATTAAAATCATCGACAATTTTTGTTAAATTAGAGAAAAAAAATTAATTGATTCGAATTCTTTGCCATCTAGCTTTAAGTCAAGTAAAAGTTTTATGTGATTTTATCTTTTGCATCGACAGACCCGAATGTCGAAGATTCATAACAAATGTTGAAGAGCAACGTCCTAATATTTCCTAATACAATTGTATTATTCTATTTGAAACCAGATTTCCAGTGTTAAGTTCAATAATCAGATGGTTGAGGGACTTAAAACCTCAATTTAAATGTTGAAGATTCATAATCGCATCACGTGAAAAGTTGGAGAACCAGATCCTAACTTTCATAATACAATGAAAGCTTACACTGTAGATAAGCTTCTGATTTTTGCACTTACATTGTTTTGCTGTGCTTGGGTATTCTTAATTATATGAATATTTTTTATTTAAACTGGAGTCTGGAATCATGTTATAAAAATAACAGATATTAGAATAATTGCATCAAATTTCATGCTATCTAAATGTGTTGCCTACATCTCATGGTTTGCAAGAATCTGTACTACATACGATAACTTGATGTTTGGCCACCTCTGGCATCATTTCAATTGGGCTCTCCCCAATGGGATAGGTGTTGAAGAGATTGATATCGAAGAAAACCCTGCTCTCGTCACATATATGAGAAGACATTACGAGTCCATTTGTACAAACGTGTATTACCTTGAGAGGATGTAACATACAGCAAAAAATGTTGAAAATACCGCACGTGTTGTCAACAAACAGAGAGAGAGAGAGAGAGAGAGAGAGAGAGAGAGAGAGAGAGAGAGAGATTCAAAAATTGAATTATTAACTTTTTTTTTTAAATAGACTTGATAAAAAATCTGTACACATTCTTGTTATATGAACTTGTAGCTTCCATGCAATTATAACTTTCCAATATTGATGACAATTAAAATAGCAACTCCCAAGGATTGTAACTCTCGGAGGCCTACGTATATTTTAGTCCATCCATGTCATCTTGCACATTCAGAAGTTCCATCCCATTTTTCATTTCTTCATCGAGCACTGAGCTTCATCTCTAGCTCTGGTTTTCGTTGAAGCTTGTCTAGTTGTCTTCCACCCCTTTGGAAATTCACTTCGAATCCAACCATGAACCCGGGGAACTTTGAGACAATCCTCGGAATTGATCAAGATTTTCTTAGTTTTATCAATGACCCTGGAAACAACAGAACTATGATTGATTGGATCATTTTTAATGATCAATAAGCTTTCTACATTACTTCGTAATGATTTATCAATGGAAACCATATGATTTACAACAAATTAGTAGATTCAAATAATTTACCAGTTTTTCATCAAGTTGAAAGACCTGAAAACTGTGAAACACCATAAAGTACTTACAGAATCTGTAAGTGGAGAGTTTCATATTTCTTCACTCAAATCCATGGAATCTCGAAGTTCAAGAAGCTTATTAGATGAAATGTTACTTGGATTCCTCTTCTCCTTCAATGGAAGAAGCTTTCCCGCATATAAGCACTTTATGATCCAGTTAACTGACTGCATTGAATAATCAATAATCTTCAGTTGGATGAAAAGGGAAGATGAGTGTAGTGAATGTACTCAACCAATACAGTAATTTTCAAATCTGATAGAGCTTCTGGGGCTCTATTTGATCTTAAGTTAATTAGAGTGTTAACAATGTCAATGATTAAGACTGACCACCATAGGAATGTTCTGCTCCTTGGTACAATGCTTCAAGTGACGAGATGCATTATTCTCATCAGCAATAACAAAACCCATTGAAATTCTTCCTGCTTCAAGACTCTGGACTAAACTTTGGAGAGTTTTGAAAACCTGTCCACCACCATGCTGAGCAATCAACAGATCAAAAGAAGGCTAAAATTATTTCATAATCTTTTCATTGAAGAAAATGGGAAAGCAATATTGACAAACTACAAACAATGAGACACGAGATTTAAGTAAGATGCAAAGAAGGCCATTTACTAAATGTCAGTTTATAGCAAGAAGGCCATTTACTTTATAGTCCAGCAAAGGTATTTAAACAAATATTTAGTAGAGCTACTGTGGTGTTGGCTCGCAAAAAGTTGGAGCCAAATATAGTTTCTGAGAGAGAAAAAAAAATTATACTGGTTTCGTTCATCTCTTTGGGTTGGAATAATGAGGAATTTATTGAAAGTAGGGAGTTTCAAGGTGGGGTATGAATAGGTAAAGATGAGAGATTTAAATGCAAGGAGTGATTGATCTCGAAAAATACACAATGATTAAAACCTGAATAATCGACATGAAAGAAAATATATGCTAGCTGCACAGGTATGAGCTGCTGTTAATAAGAGGGTAGAAGAAATCAAGTGTACCCCTAGATTTCGATACGGATAACCGCTCAAGCATGCATTTGATCTGAAAAGCTTCAGAAGCTCTTAATATTACAATTTTCTTAACCCTAAATGAAAAGCATTCTAAACCTAATTGACAAACTGTACAAACCAAACAATAGAAGAACTTTTTTTTTTTTTTGCCAAGATAAACCTTGATTTGACTCGAGACTGGTGTGTTCTATGGCTTTTTGGCAAGGGAACACCTTCAAACTCAAAATATGGAGGCAAAACATAATATAGCCAATATTCCATTTTGTGATATTGGCATGAGTATAGCCAATATTCCATTTTGTGATATTGGCATGACATTCTCTGCAAGTCTCTCTCCTAGTACATTTGAACTTAAAGCTATCTGGGGACAAATGATACTCTATCTCAATGCAACCATCCGGGTTGTTCATACTATGACTAAGTGGCATGTAATGTATCTTTATTTTGCCTAATCTAAAACACTTGAACTTTAAAGTTTTCCTCCAAAATTTATTAGAGGAGAATATATACAAGTCTTGTTGTCTTTTTTTACAATTTTCCATCAAATATTGAAATGTTTGAAGGGCTTCAATAACATATTTCCCTCACATAATCCAAAAACACTTCTCTAGCACCTTTAAAATACACCTTAATTTACATTTAATCCTCATCTCCAGTAAATTCATAATACGATTGATGAACTTCAAGCCTTGACATTTTGTACAATCTTGAAAAACTCCTTTACTATAAATGGACCAGAACACTCTTTATTCGAGCCTTGACATTAAGCACAATCTTTAATAACTCCTATACCCTTATAGATAGGGACCATAACACTCGTTATCCACTCATTATATATCATTTTACACCTTAACATCTCATTAAAAAATTCGTCGAAGTACATACCTTTCCTTGATACTTTTAGGCAACGTATTTAGAAAAATAAAAACAGAAAAGGAAAAGGAAATCCATCAAGATGCATGTAGATGATGTAGTTGCAATAATATTGGCCATTTAAAGGATTTCTTTAAGGTTAGTTTACTAAGCTGCATCATTATTCTCTACTGACTAAACTCAAGCTTTAGTTATTTCAGGTAATAAAGTTCATGACTTTGGAACTTGACAGCACCTCTTCGTAAAATATTATCTTTTTGTTCTTGAGAGTTTTTGTGCCTGTGGCACAGAAATGAGACTTGAACCTTCCGTTTACTTTTTTATACCATGAACCCTCCATGTGTAACTCTAATAAGTTCTCTAGACCCAAATACATGCACAAATCTATCATTATTAACGTACGGCATGGTAATAGTGCAGTTGGTTCTTCTGATTATCATTAAATGCACATCCAACCGTTCGCTTTTCCTCTTCCTTTTTTATATTTCTTATCCCAATGTCACCAATCTTAATGAAGAAACGTAAAAGCAAGTTCCAAGAAGAGGGCAGCAAAAAGTAAACATCTTCTCACTCTACCATGCAAGCAAGCCTTTACCTTGACAATGATTTCCATTTTGGTGAATATTTTGGGTTTTCCATGAATCATGAACCCCATATTGTCAAAAATTAAGGGATAGCTTTTGGATTGACCTTGTATATGCCTTCCGCTAACATTTCGGGGTAAGATCATATATCTGAAAAGTTAAATCAACTTAGAATGAGGCAATGAAGCAAGTGAGCGTAAAAGATCTCTGAAAAACAACAGTAGAGTTCATATAATTTTAATTTGTCACAGTAGTTTCATCATTGTAAAAAGAACACTCAGAAAAAGACTTTCCCTGGAATGCTGGATGGCATATCTTACCAAAACCCAAAATGTAATTATAAAATGATAGACATGGTAATCAGGGGAAATTCACCACCAACCCATAATAATGAACTTATATGGGTTTTTACAAGTATAAAGAAAAGATCTGATATAAGCTCAATAAGAGCCACAGGTTACAGTTAGAGGGAATGAACCAAGTAGAATTATTTCAATTCTTTCGTCGATAGATTACAATGAACCATCTGCTTGTAGTTCACCTTTGAAATGATGATATGTTACAGTATCAGTAGGGCATGGCTTACAATGATCAGTGAAC